TTGTTAGGTAGAGGACTTGGCTGTGAGGCACCCAGGCGGGCCTCCGTACTCCCACCTGACGAATTGTGGGAGCATCCATCTGAACAGAGATTCACACTAATCTCTTGTATAAAATGCATGGGTAGTTATGAGAGGAAACGGCCAAAACGAGCTGAATGACGATTATCCTCTCAGGAGAGAGCTGCAAGCCGCTCATTGCGACTGAAGGGGGCTTGTCGGCAGTGTATCTCGGCCGGTAAGCATGGATAACAAAGTCGGGAGTAATATGAACAAATGCCCAGAGCCGCGATACCATCAGTTCACAGCGCCTCTCCCAGCCACCGGCTTTGGCTGCAATGGAAAACAGTGGCCGCCCGCGCAGACATCAGCAGACTCGATCTGAGGGCTTGGCCGGCGATCTCAGCGGCGCTGTGCTGGCCGGCCGGCCGGCGCTGGCCGGAGTCCCGCTGGGCGCCCGCTGGGCGGCCGTCAGTCGGTCGGAGGTCGGCGCGGCTGGGAATGAGCCGGACGCCCCCCGCCGCGACACCTTGTTTGCCGGCGACGGGGGGCCGCGCTGCGGCGAGAGATGGACATGATCATTACAGCGGTATGCTGAGCGGCCCGCCCGCCGCCCGCCGCCCTCCCCCACCGGCCGGCCGCCCCCACCGGCCCCGGGGCGCTGCGCACAGGTGTGGGGAGTGGTGAGAGGGGCGGGGAGGGGCTGGAAGGGGCTGATTCGTGCGAGATGGGCACTGGGAAGCGATACCTACTGGCACCCGAGTCAGTCGCTAAGGTGGCAATAACCGGAAGGGTTTCCAAGGGCAGCAATTGGTGGGGTAAAATGGCTTTGTTTAGAACTAGGATGGATATTGGATACCTGTTGTGGGTCATGCAGTGAGGTCCTAATATGAGAATTTAGGGACCGATTGACGATTGATAATATGTGTAATACTTTCGTCCATAAATGAGGAATCGGACAAACTGATTTGATGTTATTAGCTCACAATTTGTTTGCTGATATTTTGCTCGTTCGCTGATGGCAGAGTTGTAAATATAAAAAATCGATTAATACATGACAGTGGTTTGTTGACGTGATTGTGCCAATTTACCAGACATCGCGACATGGGACCAATGACATCATTATTAGCATAAATAGAGGCTAAGTAAAAAAAAAAACTTCTCCTCTATGAGCTGGGGGAATACCTACTTTGGCAACTAGCAAAATACCCTCAAATTACAGTTCCACTGTAAAAAAAGTTTACCAACTAGTTAGTTATCCGGCCACTTTTCACTAACCATAGGCGTGTAAGCAAAACACGCATTTCATGACTAAGTGTGTTTTCAATTACACGCAAAAGGTTGAATAGCGTGTTTTGAAACACACCTCCTAGTTTTCGAATATTTGCCAGGTTACTAAGATAAGCCGTGTAAGCGTGTTTATTGACTATCATCGCTGTGTTTTGTTAATAACTACAGACGTGTTAGGTAACACATGTGTTTGTCACACGGCCACTTTTCACTAGCTATATGCGTGTACGCAAAACACACATATTGCGTGTTAGCTAACTAAGCTGTGCGTGTTAATAAACTAAATACATTTTTGAGAACAGGCGTGTAACTTAACTAATGTGCGTGTTAGTCACCTCTTTTCACAGCCGCCCCCCCCCCTCCAAAAAACGAATCGAATTAAACTCATCAAACATGTTTATTCAAAACTGCATTCAAGCTCCTTTCAGCAAGCTTACAACTGCATACAGTAATATTTCTCTTATTGTACTAAAAATGAACCTAAAATATATATATATATATATATATATATATATATATATATATATATATATATATATATATATATATATATATATATATATATATATATATATATATATATATATATATATATATATATATATATATATATATATATATATATATATATATATATATATATATATATATATATATATATATATATATATAGCCTGCAGGAATCCGCACCAGACATGACACCATACAGGCTCCAAATACCTATTACGAAAACATTGAGAATGCTTCATTTCTGTCGATATGGGCAAACTAAATTGCAACAAAAGGGCAAAAATTCCCTGACCGAACCATGGTGGCTCATGTGTCTACAAAAAAAAAAAAAATTATTTGACAACATGGCTGCAGTGACAGGAATTGCATAAAACAGCGCCTCACCGCGTTCACTGGTTGAGTGCCCAACCAAAAATTAGGTACATTTAATTTCTTGTTCAAAGCTTAATGCGGTTTTAGTGTGCAACATGCTCATTGTTCAGTCCGTCATATGTACTTATAGACGTCAATTGACAGTCAACAAATGAACAGTGTCTCCAACCTGAGACCCTCTAAAGCCTGGTTGGAGCTTCATTTGAAAAGAAAATGAGTGACATACATAAACCACACTAAAACGCCAGCAATATCTCCACTGATCTTTCCCATAATCACTCACCATACCAGTAAGGATGAAAGCCATGTCCAACAATCCATATCATTTCACTGTTTGACTTCTTATTATTCGTATTCGGGTTATGTATCACCACAGTATCACCACTTCTGCATCACCACAGCAGCTCCTTATACTGCACACGCAACACTTATACGCCACAGCTCAGCTCCTTCACAACGCACGCGTCCTCTCCCTTCTCTGACTTGGCACAGACTGAACAATGGCGGGCGCAGAGGGGCGCACAAAATGGCGATTTTTTCAATTAACTAAGGTCTTTGTAATGCTACAACAAAAAGGGTAGTAAGAAAACTAAGATTGTGAGTAACAACATGCGTTTGATTTGTTAGTTAACACGTTACCCAGAAAAAAAGGCAAAGGAAGCATAAACAAACATGTTTGTCAAATAACACGGCATGGTTTGCACGGATAATATTTGTCGGCTTACAATGATGTTAGCTTTTCTGCTTCGATGAAATGGATGTGGTGTTAGGTTGCAAACATATGTGTTACCTGACCCGTTTTTTGCAACAACGTGTGTTTTAATACTAGATTTTGCTTGAAGAATTAACTAACTGGTTTGTTAGCATTTTTTACAGTGTATATCCGACCCCTCCACTTTGTCCTGAGATCTAATGAGATCTTAGACTATACGACCCCTCTATTTTATAGCGATCCACTAAGATTGAAGATCCGTCTCTCGGATCCATGCACAATGCACATGTGTGCTTCTCATATTTTTTCATAATTTGCTGAAAGTTAGAAGTGCCAAGTTACCCAAGTTACACGTGCTGCATTTGGCCGCACACGCTTTAGCTTTGCCATGAGTGCTATTTCACACTTACATAGCTGCAGAAACCTTCGCTGATATTAGGGTGTGACTGCCGTGCGCCAAATGCAGCATTTCAAACTTTAAACGCCCAGCGCTCCAGGTCCGTAATCCCATCCGAGACTCGGAGCCCGTGTGCATCTTTAATATACTTTTCCACGAACTCTCGTGATGAACTATTTCATTGCATTTAACTCAACAGCACACACGTGTCTTCTTTTTGTCCAATAGTTCATGGTTCGAATGCGCCTTCTAGGACCAGATGATGAAAAGAGGTTGTCTCTACGCTCCTCTTTGTTTTGACGAACAAGAAAACCGAACGCGTCATGCCAGGTGTTAAGTTTTAGCTGCAGGGGCAATGTGGATATCGGTCTCGTTACAACGTTTTATTTTTTATGAATGCATTTTAAACTTGTACTTTACGTAATGTATTGATAAACCATTATACCTGAAGTTTGGTACATGCATGGATGAGATAACACGCATGGATGGATGGATGAGAATATTATTTGATCCATGGTACGTGTATGCCTCTGAGCTGCCAGCTAGCGTGAACCTTCGAAACACGTTTCATTTCCATATCTTCGCGACACCGTCTGGTGTTTTAGACTGTCTGACGGCGCCGGCGAGGACCGCGTGGCGTGCCCTATCTCTGTCGGGCCCACACTCGACCGTTGGCCGCCTCGATGTGTATTCCGTCATTAATTGGCGAATTAGACCGGCGATTGACGATAGCGACTGCGACAGGTGCCGCCATTGTGGTCGGACTCTGTTTGGACACGGCGTCTCGCTGCGCCGCCGCCGCCGCCGACACACCATTTGCATACAATGGCGGCGCAGCGGCGGCGGTGGCGCGCGCAATTAGCCGCGCCGGTCAGCCGGAGCGGCGCGGCGACCGGTGGTCAGTGGTCAGTGGTCGGTGGTCGTTGGTCAGTGGTCAGCGTCAGCACCCAGCCCTCAGTCTGGCTACCGGCAGCTCCCGTGAAAGTCCCCTGAGTTGTTCCCTGAACCCTCCACCGCGCCGAGGTGGGAGGGCGGAGCTGCTGGGCGTCCCGACAGAAGAACAGGAAAACCTGGGTGGCCGCTCGGGATGGGTTTACCGGAAACACCCTCCCCGCGGCCGCTGACGCCGTTAGTTACCCTTCGCGTCGTTACGACCCTGTCACGTCCTCTCGCCCCTCGCCAGGTCGCCCCACCGCGCCGCGCGGTGGTTCCGCCCCCTGTTCCTCCTCACCGCTGCGCCTTGGTGACTGGTGAGGTCGGTAGTTGGGTCGGTAGTTAACGATCTATTGGCTGGACAGCCGGGATGAACACGTCTCGACAGGATGGGACCGACACCTTTGTGATTTAATGTCCCAATTCCTTGGTTATGGGGGTAGTGAGTACCTCCACAGGTGAAAGTTGTGGTGAGGACCGGAAGAATGGCGGCTCCCGGGTGGTGATGGTGCCGGGGGTATATTTCAACGGGGAGCTCATTTTTTGTCTGATATATTTTGAACCACCCGATATTATTTTTCCTTTAAATGATGTGAGGCTTGAGCAATTTTTAGGTCGAACATGCAAGTAAGATGTCATCAGCTCGTTCAGGTTTGCGAGAAAAATTCGCTACGAGACAATAATCGCACCGCGTTTTAGCTGGATATATAAGCTTTACTAGTCCTCTTGACCAACAGGCTAGGCTTTGATGCGCTAACATTGACCCGATCTTTTTTCTCTTCTTTTCAGAGCACTCAGCTCCATCAGCAGTGTCGGCAGTGTCGGGAGAATGCCCGTCTACCCATCACAGTGCGAAGACCTCAGGAAAAACAATCTCCTAGCCAAACAGCAAATCAGGTGAGCATAGAGTACCCATGACGACATGTTGGTATGAGTATCGTGTCGTGCATCATGATTCTAAAGAAGTCCAAGCGATGGTCTGGAGTATATTCTCATTTTCATGCAGCAACGGTGTATTGCGGAGCTTGCATGACAAGGCTGATATAGGTATCGTTGACTGATTATATCAACATGACCGTGTAATGTAAAGTATGCGGTGACCGCCACCCTCTGACGTGTATCCAGAAAAGCCGGGTCTGCCACGATGCGGGGTTTTGTGGTGGTGTGTGGCACGTGCCCTGTGATACCAGGTGCCTATTCTGACGTATTGCAGACGAAATGCCATCAGTCCGGAGTTCGTGGTATCTACCAACCTTGGGTATACCTATTGCCGCGTTAGGATACGGCGGCTGAAAAAAGTTAAGACGGGACACGCAAACGCTTCTGATATGACCTTTCTCATAGCCACACTAGATAGCTGTGGATGCAATGTGTAGGGCCCTCTGATATACTAAAAATAAGATTATTGATGATTTTTTTTTTCATCGTTTTGCCATGGTCTTTGTAAGCTAAGCTACTGACGAGTTCACAACAGTCCGCTGTCAGTAAGGCTCTCTCCCGCGTTAGTAGTGCGACGCTGTCACGCGCTGCATGGTCGGGATGACCCGCTAGGGCCTAACCGTAACCGGTATTCTGTCCGATGGCAGCCGCACCATCCCCTGTCCTGTACGGGGGATGTCTTTCTGGCCACTTCCCGGTGCTGCTCACCCCGCTGCGTTCGAACACGACCTGCTGCCGTGTGCAGGATACACCAAAAATGCCGCATTCTGCGATAAATTGCGTGGCTTTTATTGTTTTAACAGAAACACATCTCATGCTGGAATTTCTGTGAATCGTTCCCGAGAATCGCGTTCTAGCGTTTTTCACAGGATATGTGCTCGGTGGCGTGCGGTGCATTACAGTTTGTAAGTCAGGCTTCTGGAGTCTCGGAGCGAATTTTTGCAAGCGTTTTTCTCGTGCAGCTGTGATCTGTAGGGCGGTACATAGCAGGAGGAACAGGGCGGCGTGTTCTAGTCTGTTTCTGTTTCTGTGTCTGTCTCAATAAGGCGGCCGAGCCGTGCTCGTGTACCCTCGTTCTGCCCGCTCCGGTGCGGCCCGTCCATTATGTAAATGTCCGTGGGTGTATCACTGGATGCGCCGACCAAAGCGGGCTTAGCCTCGGCTGCAGCAGCAGCCCAATCCGCGCCGTAATCTGGCCGTGTCTGAGCGCGTTTTTGTTGTTGCCGCGTTCCGCGACCAGCGCTCCGAGCCAGCCGAGCGCGCCGGTCGCCGACTCAGGCTCTGATCTGCGCGCGCGCCGCGCCGTCCCGTCCGGCAGGTTCTGCAAGAAGCACCCGGGCTTCATGTCTTCGGTGAAGGTGGGCGCGGCATCGGCCATCTCCGAGTGCCAGCACCAGTTCCGCTCGCGCCGGTGGAACTGTTCCACCTACATGGACCTCAACACTGAGGTCAAGCTGGAGATCTCCAAGAAGATCAACAGCACAGGTGAGTGTCATCTGGGCGATCGGGGAGGGGCTCCGCCGCCCCCGCGTAGGCAGGAAGTGGCGAGATGAGGGCGGTTTTATCGCCGATCGGCCCAGTTTTGATCACGACCGGGGTGGTTTATTGCCAGTCACTGAGCGTTTATAGCCAGGCCGATGATTGGAATGCAGGAAAACGGCCGGCGGCGCGGCGCTCGAGCGTGTACAGAAGCCGACCGGCCACTCTTTGTCCGTCGATTCAGTATGCTCGTCGAGCGATGCTTTCCTTGTTGGTTGCATAGAGCCACCTTTGGGCGCGTGCACGCGCTTTATGCACTAGCATTTTTGACATTCTTGTGGCGTGGTTTGCTGATGGGTCTCAGGTTGCGGAGCCTTTCACTGAACAGTTTTAAGCAGAGCCTGCTCATCGCTTAGCGGAAGGCTTGGCTTTTCGTGTAGTTGTCACTCATACCTAAGAGCCCTACAACGTTCAGCAGCGCATTGACAAATTGCATCGGGAAATGAATCAAAGTTGCCTTGCGTGTGCTGACTTCACTGTCGCCAAACGTTATGTCCAAACATCGGTAGGCGCTCCATGTTGTTGCAATGTTTGCTAATTCATTTATTCAGCAAATTGTGTACGAATAAACCAATACGAAACGCTCACTAATCGTTATTCCATTGACGTTCTCAGGCTTACTGACATTTGTTTACTTTATTTGTTTATTAGCTTTAGAGTGCTTTAGAGCTTTAGAGTGCGTCGACTGCAAAGTTCCTTTTGCGCTCATATTCGGCCATTTATTTACTTGATGAAATAACATGTTTTATTGGGGTTCCTATTGTAAACAGACTTGTGGGTTATTCCTCAGTGGTTATTCCATGTAATTCATAAGGATGGTACATACTAGCATACCGTTCCACTTATGTACATATGTGTATTGTGAAACATTTGCACCATCAGGTCAAATATCTTTCACTTTCCGCTTATGCCTTACGCTTGACATTCCTTATGCCTCCCATGCCTTCATTCATTCCTCCCCACCACCACCTGCCAGCTCATCGTCACTTTCGCTGTATCTGCGTCCATCTCGCCTGGGACACCGTTTGTCGGTGTCGACGTCTGCCGGTCGCCGCTGTCGTGTCGACGCGTCGTCAATCGGCCCGGACAAATGACCGAGTGTCGCCACGCTGCGCGGCCGCCGCGGCGCCGAGCGTGTGTGGGCACAGACGCAGAGTAATGTCGACAATGGGTTTACAAGAGGCAGCCAAATCTGGCTATTTGTTGCCGAGGAGAACATGTCCTGGCAGGGGGTCGATAGCCATCTGGGTGAAAAGATTTGCATGACGAATTTATCACTGGACGGTGGCGGGACCGGACGCGGTGGGCTGCCAGCAGTGCTGTTGGAGGTGTGGATGCCCACTCCTGACCAGATGACTGCTTCAATGGGAGTGACGGCGGCGGGGCGGTCACCAGGGGGTACACCGACCCGACCTGATGACGTCCGGCGTCCGCCACGGTCACCGCGCGTCCGTCCGCCAGCGCCGCGAATGACAGCCGCCTGCGATAAGCGGGCGCTGCGGACCGCTCGGGTTCGCGTTGGTTCGCTCACATGATGGAGTGTGCCCGGCTCCGGATGACAGCCACGGGCCTGCAGCGTCGCGGTAGATTTCAATCCGGCGCCGGCCGGCGCCCGCCACGACCCGAGTGCACGTCAAACATTTTGTCCGGCCTTTCGTCATATTTCTTATCGATAGGGCGTCCGTCTTCCGCAGAAGAGTTGTGGAACATGCATGCTAGCATATGCGAATGCATGCTGACACAGCATGCCGCAGCTAGACAACGTAGTACGTATCGATGTCTTTCGATGTGAAGCAGGTAACAGACGTGGTTTTGCATGCTGCTTGCGACGACTTCTAAGCATAATAAATACCTATTGGTGCTGCCATGGGTGGCTGGCACTACGATATGTATGCAGGCGATGCGGGCACACGCCCGGGCTAGTTTGTCATGACAGAGCGCAGCATTTGTCATTCACTGATGGACGATCGACTCGCTGGTATGCGAATCGTGCCTTCTCTGTCGGTTTATCGTACATTATAAATCGGACAAAACATGAGTAGACAGCGGATGCAGCGGACAAGGGACATCGCTCTCTGATTCTAGGGAGCATCTGCTGAATCGGGATCCCGGCGACATCTGTAAAAACGACGCAACCTACAGTATTGTACCGCGTCTTTTAGACCGCAATCGCTGCTGTTACACGTTTAGCAGGTCACACATTTAGTTGCCTGCCTGTTCCCAGTATCCACTCGCTCGTCTCACGCCTTCTCACTCCACACGGGACGTGACATCATCAGCCGATACGGTCCTGTAGCATACAGTCCGAGTTCTGACTAACATCAATTCACACCCACTCTGTGAGTCAGCGTCATCGGCCCAGTCCGGGGCCTCGCTCGGCTCCTATCAGCTGTATTAGTCGCTGCGGCCTCCGGCATCGGCGCGGTGACATGATCCGTTTACCAGTGACGGCTGTCGCGGATAGCGCTGATGACGGATGCCGCGTCTGTCGCGCCTGGATCTGCCGGCCATGCGTGAGCCAGGCGTCATCTCCGGGGCGCCGGCGTCATCTCCGGGGGGGGGGGGGGCGCTGGGGGCGCCAGGGGGGGAGGGCGCAGGCGTTACCTCCCTGGGGCGCTATCGCTGGACACGGTCACCAAAACGCCGTGTGTCATCGGGTACCCAGGGTCACTCGGTCACCGCGCCAAGCGAAAACCTACTTCAGTCGGGTTATGTACTGAGCTTAGACCAAGCTCAGACTCGATCCAAGCTCACCCTCGCTGGATTCTACCGAGCTTTGCAAATGCTTAGCTCTGATTGCACCTTAGCTACAAAGCCTGCAGCTGCGGCTGAGTTCTCCATCTCCCCCCCTCTCTCTCTCTCTCTCTCTCTCTCTCTCTCTCTCTCTCTCTCTCTCTCTCTCTCTCTCTCTCTCTCTCTCTCTCTCTCTCTCTCTCTCTTCCTTTTGATCAGACTAGTTTGCACTCAGCTCCATAATCAGCCGCAGCTCTCTCTCTGCCGACCTAAGAGACAGTGAGTCAGCTGTGGCCGACACCCTGTCGAAGCGATTTCCTCGCCGTCCATCTCCGCGTCCCCCGGGCCAGTCGATACGGATGGCTCGACGCAGCCCTGACAGGTACCGCAACGCGTGAAGAGCAGAACGAATTAAACAGGCCGTGCAGCCGGCGGCGGGCGGGACGAGCGACGGAGTGGGCCGTCACCGCGCCGCCCCCGCCCCCGCCCCCGCCCGGTCGGTGACGCCCACGAGTCCGTTTGTATCAGTCGAGCCCTCAGCGAACTTAATTGCTCTGCTTAATCGTGCTGCAGCCCTCTTGTCTCCACTTGACGAGAATCCGAGAATCTTGTCATCAAATTTGCAAAGATCACAGCGAATAGAGCACAGTGGGTGAGATCAAATAGATTTGACTCTGAAATCAAGCATCCCTGCTGCACTTCCTGCTTTTCTCTCGCTTCCATTTCCACGTCTGTTTTCTCTCCTTGTCATTTACCTGGGTACGTCACAGACAGACAGCCTGTTTTGTGTCGGTCTCCGGTCTAAACAGCTCGTGCAGGGTGCACCAGAGTGGCCTTCTGTCAGCCTGTCCGTCTGTCTGTCTGTCGGGAAGGGCGAGACGTCAAGTCACGCGCCGCACAGACCAGTCGGCAGCTTCTGCTCCGAGCGTTCAATCCGGGGGCTGCCCGGTAAAATCCGAACACAGGATTCCAGGAATGGGGCCAAACGGGGCCTAAAACTGCCGGCCGCGTGAGATGTCCTCGACTGGTCGGATGCCTGGACCGGCGAGGTGTGTAAAGCGCCCGGATTGTGGTAGCACCGTGATTCAGAGCACTCTTTGTGTTGATAAGACACTCTGAGGTAGTGGTATGTTGCACGCATCGGTTGCATGTTTTGACAGAATCGGTCAGATGTAAGAATTTAATTGCTCTGCATGATCTCATCATAGAAAAAGGAGCACTAATCGCTGAGTGACAGGCGTGCATCGCCTGATAGTCGGGCTCATACTTCCGTCATGTCTATAATGAACTGTTAGGCGGGAGATTGCAATGCTCGCCGTTCCATCGTCTTCTATTTAAAACAATTGCCTCCGACTACTTCCCGATGTTTTACTTTTGTCCTTAGTTTGACCCCGAATTCTAGCCTATTTCTTGTTAAACTGGCGCTGTTTTAATGTCGTTTAGTTCCTTGTTTACCTTAGGTAGTCCGAGGAAAGCATTTTTATACGAATGGGGATTTCTGAAGGAGGCTTGCTTCACAAATAGTTCGTTTACACAAAACAAATCCTTTGTTTGTTTGCTTTTTATCGACGTTCCGAGCGGATTTTTCATGACTTTTTCGTTGCTCTTACTTTGCGCTTCTGAAGTAGCCGTATATAGGCAATAATGCCGGGAAATATAAAGCTCCTTGAGGTGATCTCAGAACATATCATGTCCGATCAGCCTACATCGTTAGATTCGCTCCTGCAGTGGAACTGGACGGTGGTTTAATAAACCTGCCTGAACGTACCCGCTGAGCTAACTGCTGGCGAGGTCTCCGATGGCTCTCATGCTGCGGTGTACTCCGCACACAAGATCCAAATCTTCTCGTCTCGACAGATCCAAATCTTATTGAACTCGACATGCAGCGAAGCTGAGCCGCACTGGGAAGCTCTGCCGGCGAGCTGCGGCTTGGCTGATCGGCCAAACTGCTCTGCTCAGAGCCCACCGGTGGTGGCGGCTCCCCAAAACGTGTCCACTGGCTCAGGCCGTACGCGGCTTGCCCTTGTGCTTACTTATACCCACCTGCCCCTTTGAGTACATACATACTCATTCTCAGATCTCAATCCGTTGGTGGTAATGGGTGCGGTTTGCTGTTGGACTAACTAGGCATAGCACTCCAATCAAGACTCCAATAAACCCGAAAGTTTGTGTTGCAATGCTAGTGAGCACATTGGTACTCACCATTTTGTGGAGACAAATTATGTCAGTCGCTTGTGCAATATATTCCTTTGACTCCATCCACTTTTGGCATTAAAAAAAAAATGATTGTGAAAAGGATGCTATCAGAAATACCTCAATCATTTTTAGCAGCGTCGTGCTAATTTTCGACACGAAAAAGCACACACGAAGAGAGAAGTCAAAGCCCCTGGTATATGATCAATATCATAAGGCGAGGCGTGCTCGTCGTGTGTCAATACTGGCATTTCAAGAATGTTTTCAACTTTTGGTGCATGATACGCATTGTGCATTGTGCAACGGGTTTGAACCAACAACCGATAGCTTCCTCTGATGGCCGTAAAAATGATTGGAATAATAGACAGGAGCACGCGATTCATCGCTTATGCTGAAAAAGGCGCCCTCTGCAAACCTGCAATTCATTCTTCGTCGGTATCGTTTTCTCATCGTGGGCCATATGGAGTCATTTGCCAACTATTTTTAGGCAAACATAAATCAGTTCATTTTAGCTGAGCTGACGCTAGCCGTCAGCGCGGGCCATCAAATTCGAAATGTGTTCCTGTGCGGATCCTGTCTCGTGTAGAACGAGCGGTAAAAACCGTTCTACCGTAGTTAATGATATTCTAATGCACATCGGTCGTATGTGTGCTGTAAGCTGACTGCTAAAACAATGCCAAGGCTGCCTTGAGCGCGCTCGGTCCGTCTTGCTTCATTTCCTATGCGCTGCACGTTGACGGGGTGGCTTTGGATAAGTAAACTCCACTTAGGTCTGCCTTCTCAGTGCAAACGATTTGACTTAAAAAGTTTTTTTTTCTCGTGTGTATATAGCTTTACTGCAGGTATTATCACATTCACAATTTAAGTTAACTTTTTTGCAGCAATGCAGCCAGCATGGAGATATGGTCAAGTTCATTAGGAATGATAAAAAATTGTCACTGCCCTTTACGGGTATGCTTCATTTTTATATAATTTCATACATAGACCTCTGTAGTCTGTATACCGTATACAGAGGTCTATGTTTCATAATTTTCACTGACTTCTACCGTATCACCTGAATTGAGCACCATTGTCAATTTGTAGAGCTATTGAGTGTGGACAATGTCTGAGTCGCAATAATTAATGTCACATGGGACATGGGGAGATGAGAAAATTATTATTGGTCAAGTTTCAATCACTAACGCATGACGCAGAGATGGTGAGGTGTTTCAAAATTCTGACAATGGACCTGGAGGGGATGTGCATGCAGTTCGTTTCATGGATAGCATGCCTCAACTATAACGTTGTCGACAGTTTATTCATGTTTTTGGTGTATTCGCATTCTGCTATGGTGTAGGCTGTAAGTTTGACATTTGTTTCTCGGAAGCAGGCATCTCGACTGGTCTCATGGGGACCGGCAATTGTAATCCACTTACCGCAGAGCCAGGTGCTTCTCCAGTCTCTAGTGCCTAGCTAGTGACATGAACTATGAATAATTCACCTGAGAAATGTGAGAAAACATCAGGATGATTATGCAGGATTAGATCAGAATTCACAGGGATTCCTCGGAACTTCCTAGAAATCTGCACACTTCTTGAACATCAAGTTGCATTATGTCCTGGCTTATTTTCCACGATGCACTTCCAGAGTGTCTCATGAGCTTTCTTAAAAGCGAATTTTCATATTGTGTTTCGTGCACAATGCACATATTTACATGGTTGAACGGTGATTGTAAGACATAACCAAAAACATTGGATCAACAAACGTTCCTGGGGCCAACATGAAGAGCGCAACAATCGCAGACGATGCTGGAGTAATTCATAGATTTTAAATGCAAGGCGTCATCATTTAGCACGCCCATCTTTAATTTAACCCGGCAGTTGCTGGGGTATTTCGCCACCCACCGTTTGCTGGGGGGGGGGGGGGCGTTAAACGCCCCCAGCCGATAACTCGAGAACCAATAGGCGCAGCGAAACGCACGAGGCGGCAAACGAAAGAGCGCGACGAGACGCTTCAGATGAGTACTTTAAAGTTGAATTTTGAGGTCACAGGTCGGGTCAAGGTCAGGTCAAGCATCTGAAATCGGGCTTTCAGTAGCATGGACTTCAGGACTTCGCAATGGGCGCCTCTCGCCATAAACTCTGTCAAAACGGTGCACAATCCATCTTATAAGGTCTACAAGAGTGTCAGCTCCATGTAGGGGTCAGTCAAGCATAGGTCAGGGTCAAGGTCAGGTCAACCGGGTAGGCACATATCCCCGAAAATCAAAACTGATATTCGCAGCCTGTGACACATGTTTTATAGGTAATTTGGGGCGTAGAACACGATGGTGACATTCATTTTATCATATGTGTACGTGTTTGGCTCAAAAAGTTCAATTTAAGAAATTCATGTATCATGGTCGTGAAGTAGTCACGAAAAATTGCCAAGATTCAGTTCAAGATTATGGAAAATGCGGAACGATAATCAATAATCGAAGATAGCCATTTGATTGTTCATGGTATTGGCAGTCTAATGGCGTTTACGGCATGTCTGTATGTCTATTTTGTGATTTTATATGATTTTTTGAACATATGCTGTTTTTGGTCGAAAACTCAGAAATCATGACGTCACTAAAACCTCGATATCTCAAAAATTTTCCGACCGATTTTTTTGAAACTATGTCACAATAAACTTCAATCAATTCCCTACAGGTACCCAAAATTTGGCGCGCCTGCGGCGCGCCGTTTTTATGCTATGGCCCGGCGAAAAAAGTGGGGGCGTTTAACGCCCCCCCCCCAGCAACTCCCGGGTTAACACGGTTTGCCAATGATCACTAAGCTGCCCTACTGCTCTCTGATCCATGACCACTGAACTGAACACAGACCACTGTTCAGTGACCACTGATCACAAGCCTACCACGACCCACTGCCCTCCGACCTCGAACCGGGGCCCGGACACCTGGTGACTATGTCCGGAGGGCTGCTCGGCGGGCTGCTGGCGGGGCCGTCGTGACCTGTGGCCAGGTGGTTTTACTTTGCACTTAATTTTCGTGTTAATATTTCCTTTTTTGTGTGTTTTTTGTGCTTATGTTTTGTGGGAAAGGCGCTTTGATTTAAGCATTTTGCTTTTGCGCCGATCCGCGATTATTTTCGCCGATATTTTTTGTTCGTGGTTACCAAAATACACTGAATGAATGAATGAATGAATGAACCACTGACCACTGACCATTGTGACTCAGTGACCACTGTGTCTCAGTGACCATTGAGTGAACTGATCACAGATCACGGCCCACAACTCGCTGCTTTCCGATCCCTGATCTCTGACCGCTATCAATCCCTTAGGTATACAACACTGAACACTAACCTGACCACGGACCTCAACCCACTGCTATCAGATCTCTGACCACTGACACCTCTCCATCTCAATAGTCGCGTTTACATAGCATTTTTGACGAGGCTCTAGCTCATTTATTTTGCGACAACTTCGATGAAGTAATCTTTGCGTATTTAGATGGGAGCATTTTGTAAATTGTAAAGCACTCTTCGCATCTTTTGCAACATACTACAGGCGGAGCTATGAACTCGCAACAATCCCTATGCAAACGCGGCTCATGACTACTGACCACTGCCCACTGACCTTTAGACTCAGTGACCACTGACCAATGTGTCCACCCCACAGACGGCCCGCGGCGCGGCCGGAAAAAGCCCGTTCGTGGTCCGACCCCAAGCGGGGCTCAGAGCGATCAGCCGGTGCGACGGCGACGACGGCGCAGGAAGAGTCCCCTGGAAAACTACCCCATCGTACCCTCAGGTGAGAGAGCATCGGCCACTGCCGGCCAAGAGGCGCGATTGTACACTGAACAGTGTACACATGGACTGATATTTGCGGTTAGTCTTTTTGTTAACTCAAATTACGAGTGCTTGTTGCTATTATGCATGTTGGCAGGGTAGGTGGCTGAGATGTGTCTTTTGATTATGTTTGTCCGGACAGCACGTGATGTGTGAACTCATCCAGGGTTTGATGTAATGCGCGTTAAGTCAATTTGCGAAAGCTTCTTGTCCGGCAGTTTTGCCCCATTTGCCATCTTACAGTTTTACGGCGAATTTCTATTTGCTGAGGAGCTTGCACCTGCGATTTTACCGTCTCAGCTATGGTAATACGGAGTTGCGATCCAGTGAAGCATTCGGCTGTTTTTTTTTTCATGGTATCGGATTACATGAGATAATTTCATGCGATTTCAGATCCGCTTAGAGTTGAGTCGCGTGCTGTGAAGAGCGTGTCACTATGTGGCAACAGCAGGATGTTCACTCGAAAGCGTGCTTTCTGCCGCTGTGCAGCCATATTTAATCCCCGACAGACCAGAGTATTCATGACCAAAGCCCTTAATCGCGTTAGGATGTGTCAAGCACGCTCCAGTGGTTGCGAATGAACTATGCTCCTCATCCAGTCATCTGTGTAGAGCATCTGTCCGTCAGGCTTAGGATAAATGAATGACGACCACAACCGTTCTCGCGACCACATTGAAACGACTTCAACGCTCCACAGGATCATTTATGAAGTATTGCGGTGAACTTCTGTCCTTGCATGCACCCGGTATACTTCATTTGTCAGGGGTGAAAACAAAAACGTGCGGGTAGCAGAGTCTGTTTTCATTTTCGGAGGATCATGATGACCTCATCGTGTTGCGGTCGCGGTTGGTTTCCATGAAAGCCGTCTTCCTCCCCAGCTGAATCCTGGAGCTCCGTTTTCCGGCATCTCTTCTCTGATCCGGCGGCGCACAGGCAGCTCGGTTAGAGCTGCTTCCGGCTTATCGAAATCACCTGGGAAAACAGGGAGATGCCGTGTCATGTTTGTGGAATGTGGAAAAGCCTTTTTCAAAATGACAGGACGCGGCTCGACCCTCTCCGTCCATAAACAGCTAAGATCAAAAATTATTTCGTAATGATAAGTCTCATGTCAATGATATGAGCGAATGATGACTGTCCCCATCACCAGCTACCCTCGTCCTCGCTAATCCAAACTAGCTCTTTCGCCAGCCTGATCCAAGCGGCAAGAACTCAAGAGAATTCAGCCTGACGTCCGTCACAGACTGCACCTCCTTCACTGGAGTGACCTTTCTCACCAGTAACCTCTCTTACCAATGACCAGCTCTCTTTCCAATGACCTCTCTCACCAGTTTGACCTCTCTCTAACCAACAGGGACCCGGGAGACAGCGTTCGTTCACGCCATCTCGGCAGCAGGATTGGCGCACGCACTCACACGGGCCTGCTCCAGCGGCCGTATGGACGACTGCGGGTGCGACCGCAGTGTCAGAGGTGTCAGCAAGGAGGGATTCAAGGTCAGCCCACTGCCCCAGATCTTGACCTCGGTGGAGAGGGGTGCGCTATGAGGATGTAATTTGATGAAAGCTCGTTAAATAATCGGAATAATTGACTTCGACGCAATGTGTTTGGTATTGTGAATGTTATACTTGTAGGGGAGAGAGGTCATATTGCGCCACCTTAAGGATATCGGCCTATTGCGGCTAAAGTTGACCAGCTGTCATGCATAATGATATCTCAAATTGTACCTCAGTTATTTTGGCATCAAATTACAGCTCCTAATTTGTATCACACCCATAAAAATTAACAAGAGAAAAGTTTTCCGACACACCTGCAAAGGGCGCATTTACGGACTACCCCATCAAAAAGCGCCCATGCCTCTCATGTAAAAGCGCCCTATTAAAAACAACGGTTTGCCACCTAACTAAGTAGCCTATTTAAACGTGTCAGCCCATTAACCATTTATGCTGTGAAGGCTAAGGTAATGGTAAGGTGAGCGCTCTAATAATAAAAGTGTTCAATGAAATGTGTCCCAACCACCAGATGCTGTTTCTCTGGGTTGAAGAATAGGGCGCAAATAGGGTGGGTGCAATTACGAATGGAACACATTTTTCATGAACTTCAAATATGGCGAGGACAGCGAAGCCACGGTGGTGATAAACTTTCAAAACTACCATTAAACGAGCAATTAACAATGATTATTAGTTGAATCACTATCTCTAAGATAAACCATGACACTAGCAAAGGTCGAAATACACTGTTTCGCATAAGAAAATAGAGGAAATCACAAAAAATGGTCTGCGAGAAAGCTGAGACACCTTACCTGCCCCCGTGGACCGGAATAAGAGCGAGTTATTGGTGGTGAAGTAAATGCACACATTCGAGCATTCATTCGAATCGAATTTTGGACAGGAGGAAGGTGTGGCGCATTTAAGAACATGGCGCAATATGACCTCTCTCCCCTATATTACAAATGAATTATTTTGTCGTCCGATTAAAACCAGTTAATTGTTTAAGTTTTTCAATTGAGGATTTTGGAACGCTCCCTCTACTGGACGTCGTTTGAGTTCCATCTGGCTTAGTGACTCACTTTGGCCGAAACTCTGCCGCAGTGGTCGGGGTGCTCAGACAACATCGCTTACGGCTCCGGCCTCTCTAAGCGGTTCGTGGACTCGCGCGAGTGGCGCGGCGTGAAAAAGAACAGGAAGAAGAGCCTCATGAACCTACACAATAACGAAGCTGGCAGAAAGGTAAGGATGTTGCGAAACGCGCTTGCAGCGCTTCCGTGTTAATCGTTCCCTGTACTGTGTTATGGGGCCAGAGCCCAGAACAGATCCACTTATAGCGTTGCGTGGTTGAATCTAGCGCGATCGAGGCTATCAGTACGGAAGTTTCGGTAGTTTTCTGTGCAAGTTACGTAACGTAAGGTTGAGCTTGGATGCCGCGCGTGCGGGAGCCGCTCTTCAATCCAAGCAACGCCAGTTTTATCTTATACGCGATGCTCGCTGAGCTGAAGTTTGAACCAGTAACCACACACAGAGCCGTGGCTTACACGAAGTGGTACGAGGCTTATGTTATAGGAGTGCCTTATTAGGACCGGCGCCGAACGCTATGATATACGCGAAGCTTAAAGCTGCAAGCTGCCCTCCCATGCTTACCTACTGCATGCAACGCTCAGTGGTACCTAATATCTTTCTAGTTTCGATCTACACGCCTACTATTTTCATCACGATACGATCAAATATAGAGGCTATATGGTGTAGTGTCGTCTTCCGAATCTCCCGAATCAGCAGTCCGCTCGTCAAGTCCTCACCAAGGTCCTCACAGTGCCAGCCCGATCAAACAAGTGTGTATTTTACAAAACTGAAGCTCCGACAACATCTCGGCCAAGGTCAACTGAATTCATGGTCGTTAAATCACTGCCGTTTAGTTCACTGCCAAGTTACTACATTTTCCCCCCTCCATTAACGGAAACGCGCTGGTGTCTTGATGCGTCTCCCACACCGCGTTCGCCGTTCCCCACCGTCACGCGCCAGGGACGACGGTCCCCCACCGTCGCCACGTATCGGGGACGACGACCCCTCACCGCGCGCACCGTTGCCACGTATCGGGGACGACGACCCCTCACCGCGCACACTGTCGCCACGTATCGGGGACGACGACCCCTCACCGCGCGCACCGTCGCCACGTATCGGGGACGACGACCCCTCACCGCGCGCCGGGGACGGCGGCGGTCCCGCCGGAGACGGCGGCGGTCCTCCGTCGCCGCGCGCCGGAGACGATGCGCGGCCCCTGGACAGCGGTCCACCGCCGTCGCTCGTTGGGGGCCCTCCCTCGCCGGCGCTCGTCGGGGACGGCCGCCCTCCGCCACCGACGCGCGCCGGAGACGGCGGCGGTCCTCCGTCGCCGCGCGCCGGAGACGGCGGTCCTCCGCCGCCGCCTGCCGGAGACGGACAACCGCCGACTTCACTCCGTCTCGCTGGCGGCGATCCGCTCGAAGGATCTGTGGAGCGGGTTAGTCGTTCAGCGTGCACCAATGTCCCACAGCTGAGTTTGTATGAGACACGTCCCCTCCTTTCCATCACCATTCTCGGAGACGAGAAGGCCTGCCGACCTTTCCTGGGGCGGGGCACCAGCCTAAACCTCACCCATTCTCCCACTTCATAGTCCCTCGGCCGGGCACAATACCTCAGGTCGAAGTACTTTTTCTGCTTTTCCTGCTGCGTCGCCACCCGCGCCCTCGTCGTCGAGTCGTCCACCGGACGACGCTCAGCCGCCGCGTGCAGCTTGGTGCGCAGTTGCCTCCCTCGCAGCAGCTCCGCCGGTGACCTGCCCGTAGTGGAATGGGGTGTGGACCTATATGACAATAGGAACTCACGGATGGCCCGCTTCCAATCCATACCATCGGCCGTCGCAGTCTGCAGGACATTTTTGACGTTCTTATTGAACCGCTCAACTGCTCCCGCCCCCCTTGGGTGATAGGGAGTCACTCTGATTTGTCTCACACCCACTTCTTTCAGGTAGCCTGTGAAGACAGCAGAGGTGAATGCAGTACCGTTGTCACAAACTAGCTCTTCTGGGTATCCTTCTCGACTCGCAACAGCCTCCATGAACTCTATCGTCTCTATCACTGACTCCGAGTTGGGGTGCGCACAAAATGCTACCTCTGGCCACTTTGAGTAGTAATCGACCATGACAATAGCAAAACGTCTCTGCACCCCACCTCCCTCCATCGGTCCAATGAAGTCTATGCCCACTTTACTCCAGGGCGTCTGGGGCAGGGGCACCGGGTTCAGTGGGGGCACATTCACCTTGACAGTCTTGTCAGCGGTAGCGCAAGCAGCACATTGACGCACAAGACACTCAACGTTGGCGTCCATCCCGGGCCACCAAAACAGCTCCCTCAAGCGCTGCTTAGTTCTTACCGTGCCTTGATGCCCCTCATGAGCAAGATCCAGAAGACGCCTTCTCAGCTCCTCCGGAACCACGATCCGGTCGCCCTTGAAGATGAGACCGTCAGCCGTTGACAGCTCCAGCCTGCAGCGGAAGAACGGTCTCAGGTCGTCAGGACAGCTGGCAATCCTTGCCGGCCACCCTTCGTCCAGCTGACTCTTCAGCTTCCTGAGAACAGGGTCGGTCTGAACTGACTCGCGGAGCTCGCCTCTGCTCACTGCCGAGAGACGCTCCACCCGTTCAGCTATCTCCGCCACCAGCTGCTCCTCGTCGTCTGGAGCCGCTTCCGCGCCCACTGCCGGCAGACGCGAGAGACCGTCAGCCACGTTACACTTGCCTGGCACGTGACGGATCTCGAAGTCGTAGACGAGGAGGCGACTGGCCCAGCGACTGATCCTCATTCCTGCCCGTCCGACTCCTCTGGACGTGAGAAGTCGCAGCAGCGCCTGATGGTCCGTCCTGAGGGTAAAGTGAATGCCAAACAGGTACCGATGCCAGTGTTCAATAGCCCATAGAGCAGCCAGTGCCTCCTTCTCAGTCGCACAATACTTCCGCTGTGCTGAGGAGAGGGTAGCGGATGCGAACGCCACGACCCGCTCTCCTTCCGGGTGGATCTGGCTCAGCACCCCACCGAACCGAGACCAACATCAGACGCGTCCGTGGTCACCACTGTCGGTAAGGTGGGGTCAAACATGGCAAGCGCAGAACTGGACGTGATCAGAGCGATCACCCTCCTGAAGACCAGCTCCAGTTCCTCAGACCACTCGAACTCGTGACTTGCACTCGAACGAAGTTCCGCGCGCAGAGGCTCCACCAGCGACGAGTAGCCCTGCACGAACCTGGCATAGAAGCCAAAAAGGCCCAGAGCTGACTGGAGGTCAGCCTTGGTCCGCGGTGACGTCAACTCCGTCATCCCTCTCGTCCTCTCAACACTGACCGAGATGCCAGCTGCGCTCACTGTCAACCCGAGGAAGTCAAGTGTGGGGACACCAAACAAGCACTTCTTCTCGTTCAGGGTGATACGATGAGCGTTCAGTCGCGCGAGGACCTGCTGCAGCCGGACATCATGCTCTGGTGCATCCCTGCCAAACACAATGATGTCATCCATGTACACCATCACCCCTGGCAGACCCGTCAGGACGGCTTCCATGACCTTCTGGAATGCCGCTGGAATGGACGACAGTCCAAAACAGCACCGTTTGTAGCGCCACAGACCCTCGTGCGTCATGAAAGCGGTCAAGTCACGGGACTCTTTGTGAAGCATCAACTGATTGAATGCTGACTTCATGTCTAGTGAAGAAAATACTCTGGCTCCTCTGAGCTTATCTAACATCTCTTGCATGTCAGGCAAGGGGTGCTTACTTGAGATGATGCTCTTGTTCACCTCCTTCAAGTCCAAGCAGAGACGGATACCACCAGTCCGTCGCCGGGTGACCACCACAGGTGACACCCATGGAGAGGAGTCCACCCTCTCTATGACGTCCTGCTTCTCCAGCTTCTCCAGGTGCTCCTTCACTTCACCCCTGACCGACAGCGGCAGGGGTCGCAGCTTCTGACGGACCGGAGTGGCCCCCTCCTTCACCTTGACTCTGTGGACAAAGCCGTGTATGGCGGGCAGAACCTCTGCATCCTCCCCCTCTACCGCACAGACGACATTGCCATCTTTGACTGTAACACTAAGCAGCTGCTGTAGGTCACGGCCAAGCAGGGGTACACTGTGGGACTCCACCACGAACAAGGTACCCTCAGTCGAACATCCCCTGTCAGAGGACACTGTGGCCGTCATCATACCACGAACAGGCAGAAGGTGTCCTCCATATCCCTGAAGCCTGATGGAAGACATCTGTAGAGGGACGTGCGCAAACTGCTCCTGATACAAGCTGCTGGGTATCAGACTCACTCCCGATCCTGTATCCACCAACATCTGGACCTGAATTCCATCAATGCCAACAGACATCATGGGACGAGGCACTTGAGAGGGCACATGGTGCACAGTCGACACTTCTACCACACAGGCATGCGAAGACTCCTGACGCTTGCACATGACTGCATAATGCCCTTTCTCATGACACTTGTTACACTTCCTGACCCTGGCTGGACACTCCTTACTCTTGGCTTTATGTCCTTTACGGCCACATGCAAAACAGGTCATCTCACCTTGCTGTCGTTTCTTGCCTTCTGAGTCTCGCCGGGTGGAGAAGCCGCCTCTCCTCTCAGTCGCTGCCACCTCCTTGAGGACCTCTGCCCCCAGCTCCGGAGACCTGCCAGCTAGAGTTTGTTGACGGTCAGCAGCCTGATCAGCAGCGAGAGCGATGACTTCAAGACGCTGCAGGGTTAGGTTTTCTTCCTGACACAGTCTTTCCTTAAGCCTTTGAGAGGAACATCCTTCCAAAAACTGATCTCTTATCATTTCATCTTCTAAGTTACCAAATGCACACTTCTGACTACCTTCCCTCAGATTGGCTAGGTAGGTACGAACAGAAGAAGCCTGCTGTCTGCACTTCCTGAATTTTATCCTCTCTGAGATGATATCAGTCTTACTGACAAACAGACGACATAAGACAGCTACTGTATCCTCAACCAAAGTGGTGTCAGAGGGCTCTGTTTTCACAATACCTCCTGGGCACTCAGCTCTAAACAGTCTCCGCCCTTCCTGCCCAAGGCAGTGCAGGAGCAAGGCCTGCTGCCTCTCCTGACTCCATGCTGACCAACCTATGGCCATGGCATAAACTTCGAAGTCCGGAAACCAGTTATTCCACGGCACCACCGGCGGGCCTGGAAGAGGTAAGAATGCCGCGGGCGGACGAATTCCCTCCATACCTCACGTCTGGTCCGACTACCTCGTCGCCAATTGTAGTGTCGTCTTCCGAATCTCCCGAATCAGCAGTCCGCTCGTCAAGTCCTCACCAAGGTCCTCACAGTGCCAGCCCGATCAAACAAGTGTGTATTTTACAAAACTGAAGCTCCGACAACATCTCGGCCAAGGTCAACTGAATTCATGGTCGTTAAATCACTGCTGTTTAGTTCACTGCCAAGTTACTACATATGGCAAGGACAAAAAACACGAATAAAAAAATGACGCATCAAAATAATTTTGCATTGCAAATGCACGATTCATATTATGATATTCCACCTCACAACGCTTTAAATTATAATTCACTAACGCCTGATTGGGTACGCCGCACATCCGCCATCTTCTGCTCGATCGATAACGGCCATATTGGTTTGACAGCTGATATTGCAGTCAAACAGAGGTGTGTTTCTACTGTTGGGCGTTGGCCGAGAAGTGGCTCCGGCCGACATATTAGCTCGCCGCCCACCCACCGCATTCGCCTCCCACGCGGCACTGTTCGCCGCGCCGCGTCGCTACTCGCCACAGCGCGCCACCGCGTCCGTTTGCTCACGTGATTGGCCACTTTAGGTCAGACGGTAAACGTGGGTAAATGTTTACAAACTTGCCGCGGAGAACAGTGGAAAATGCGCCGGAAGCGTCAACGCTGCGGCGCAAATGTCGCTGTTCGGAGCTGCCCCCAGCTGACTGAGTGCGCTATCGACTTCACAGAGCCAGGCTTATAACTAACTGTTGCACCGATACTCTACAGTCTACAATGTAGCTGATTTACTTTCTTTCAGTGTCGAAAATGCATAACTCGTTGTATGACAAACATGCAGAGCAGACCTGTGTTTGGTCCTATAGGTAGGTACGTGAATCACATTACGGCTATTAAGCTGTCAGTCTGATAGCCTATTCGAATTTTGGGAAGCTTCTCCTGTATTGGAACGAGGCATTCACCCGGCCCTAATGCACCAATTCCGCTGTCCGGTAATTCTGCATAGGAAAGCGGCTTACCAGTGAATCCTCCTGGGAGAATTCAGGGCTCCACGCAGCCTGCTGATCCAGGTCGGCGTGATGACATTTATCTCAGGACTGTACTTTATGCCACCATCCAATGTAAGGCCCATCTGGAGCGAGCTACTTGGATTCACTTCAAAACGGATTTAGCAATACTTTTGCTAAAATGTGTCTCCATGCTTACTTATGTCAACGTTAGCGTATTATATTTCAGTGACGTGGTAGTCCGTCAGTGTTTTTATGGCCACCCATTTCTCCTTTGATTCCTTCAATGTTCTTGCAATCTAATATAACCTATGGACCTATTTGATCCTAAAGTCAATTGCCGATATTTTATATGATCTGTCTGGGATCAACCGGTGATCTGTCTATAGCCTACTGGTGCTGCGTCTATAATCCAATGATGATCCAGCTATGATCCGCCAGTGATCCATCTATGATCCACCAGTGATCCGCCGGCCACCCGTCTGTGATCCGTCTGTCATTCCGACATCCCTCTGTGATCTGACGGCTCGCCGCGGCGCGATCCCTCCGGCTGTCGAGTCAGACCCGACGGCATGCTGTGGAGCCGAGTCAGTAATCTGCGCCCGACAATACGCCGCCGACAGAAACCCTCGCCCGTTTACACAAACACTGCTCCCCGCTGGGACCGGGTCGGGCGGCCCGTCCCAGAGACCTGAGGACGTGAGAGGAGCCCAGCGGAGGGCATTCCTTCTCGGCATTTGATATCGAGCGTCAGAATCGTGATCAAAGCTCGAAGGGATGTCATTTGGTGGCGTCTGAACCATTGTGCGGGAAGGGATGATTGCTCTGTGGGCTGGTAGCATTTCTATTCGTTATAAACTACACCAGAAGCAGCGCAGATTTCTGAAGACGATTCCTTGACGTTTGGAGTTTGGACACATGCCACATCACCATGTCATGATCCGTGTGATGTGTTTTGATGCACATTTACATGCATTTATTCCTTTTTTAATAGTTCTTTATTTTGTCTGTGACCACCAGTCCGTTAACTGCACGACATGCGATCCCCTTTTTGAACAAGTGCAGACTTACCTGAGGAGGCAGTCACGAACACACGAATAACCCTGTTACGGGGCACCGCAGAGAACGTTGTTGATACCTTATATTGCCCAGCTCGCTAAGTGCAGTTTTTATGATAATAGGGTCTAAGACTCCCTGCTGAAGCGCCTAAGAGCAAACGTCATAGGTACGAAGGGTAAGCAGGGAGAGAGAGAGAGAGAGAGAGAGAGAGAGAGAGAGAGAGAGAGAGAGAGAGAGAGAGAGAGAGAGAGAGAGAGAGAGAGAGAAGAGAGAGAAGAGAGAGAGAGAGAGAGAGAGAGAGAGAGAGAGAGAGAGAGAGAGAGAGAGAGAGAGAGAGAGAGAGAGAGAGAGAGAGAGAGAGAGAGAGAGAGAGAGAGAGAGAGAGAGAGAGAGAGAGAGAGAGAGAGAGAGAGAGAAGAGAAGCGAGGAGATATGGGCTCGGAGAGACAGCAATGAGAGGCACAAAGGGCGATGAAACCAGGCGAAGAGTCGTCACAGACCGACCCCATTTGCGCATGAAAGGATCGGACCGCTCCTTTCCAGATCATATTCACCGCCGAGAGGGTCTTTCATATGTCAATTTACGTCGCATTCAGTGGTAATGTCGATATAATCTACGCCGGCGATGCTTTCTTCATTGGAGCGGCTGTCGGCAGTGGTAGATTGGCTGTGTAGTGCGGCCATTGTCGTGTCTGTAGTAGAAATATGCTATTGTGGCCACCCCTCTAGCACAAGGTACCGTGCGCCGAGCGGGCATTTCGATGCTGACTGATCGTCATACATTAATGAACTGCACGGTGAATGAGATAGGCGCATTCATTTGATTGCGACTGCACAATGCCGCCAGATATCTTACGAGGATGCTGATCGTCCAATCACGCATTGTTCACATCACGGTTGAGTGATGGAGGCGATATGCAAACGACATTATGTTGAACTTTCATTCTGATGAAGTGATTGAAGTAATGGGACCAAACTGCTCACCCTCACATTACTGACGTGCTTGTTTCAATGGCTTCTGGCCCTCTCTCATCCGCTATACCTAACTGCTATAGCATATTCATTGTACAGAGTCGTGAGGTCTCATGTCTTGACGACTTGCATTTGATCGAATCGGGTATTCAAGCCCCTATGAGCTTTCGTGACACGGTAACGATGTTCGTTCACAGGTTTTGGAGCAGAGTATGCGGATCGAGTGCAAATGTCACGGCGTATCGGGCTCCTGCGAGCTGAAGACATGCTGGAAGAGTATGCCTACTTTCCGAGAGGTGAGGATGCGAATTGAGAGGAAGAACGATAAGAAGGGAGAACGATAGAAAGGGAGAAGAGGGAACCACAGAGGAAGAGGGAGAGAGGGGAGAAATGGAGGATGGAGGGAAGGGCGAACGAAAGAAGGTTGAAAGAAATGGCATATACCTTTCATATGTCACTAAAAACAAGGCCCATTGGCATTAATTTAATTATGATTCCCAGGGATACTTATAAGCAAAAATGGTAAATGTTCGCCACCTTACTGATTATTTCGAAAGATGATTAATTGCTTTGGATTAGCAGCCCTTTCCCATCAACTGTTTTTTATGGGTCATGTTGTGTCAAAATAGCTGCAATATAGTAACACTTCCCGACCTGCATTATATTCCCCATTGAATCACCCCGTACCATTTCACGTCATTCCATGTCATACCATTCTACTACATATACTACTTCTTACCACTCTGCACCGTCCCATACTAACGGCCTCTTCCACTCACAGGTCGGTGAGAAGCTGAAGGAGAAGTTTGACGGCGCCACGCGGGTGCAGCGCCGCAAGAGGGGCGGCCGCTACGTGCTGGTGCCGCGTCACGACCAGTACAAGAGGCACACGGACGCCGACCTGGTCTATCTGTCGCGCAGTCCCGACTTTTGTGAGCTGGATGTGCGCGGCGATGGCGCACTGTCGCTGGGCACACACCAGCGCGAGTGCAACGCGGTACGTCAAGGAACGGGCACGGACTCTTTGGGGAGGTTTTATGTCAGTCTGACATTAATCTGATTTGAGTTTTGTTACTAAACGTAAAACGCTGCTAAAGTTCGGCAAATTAGAAAATTTAGATAAGATTTTCTGTCGTAACCAATTCAAACACATTCTCCACATTCCACTAAATGACTGATTATCTGTACCACAGACTTCTCTATATAGAGAATAGAGAAGTCTGTGTCTGTACCTATAACATACAGCCAAATGTCCTTCTTTTCCACGGTCAGGGTAGTCAATCTCTGGTATCTTTTCGCGCGTCCGACGGCAGCCTGCATTCTGTCCTGGCTGGGGTATCAGCGACGATCCGGCTGCGCCCCTCTACGATGACACAATCATTTCCTGAAGGCGAAGAGCAGCACTAACTTTTATCGCCACGCCCGGAAATTGACGCGGCTGACGTCCTGATGCAGGCTTTTATGTGTTATCTCACGCTGAAATTACTGTCTCGCAAAATCGCAGCTCAGTGCACACACCAAATCCTTGCCATGGAATGGAACATCGCCTCTCCGCTCGCTCGTTATGCGCAAAATACCCAGCATTTACCATTTACCCTTCTCTTCCAGCTCTTTTGCTGGATGATTTTATCACAAGCAAACTTCAAAGCATTTATACCTAAATAAGGAGCGAAATATGGTTAGCTGAGTAAAATAGTGGCTTCTCAGACTGACTGACGACTGTTTGTTTTCAGAGCTCGAACGCCATAGACGGCTGCGACCTGCTTTGCTGTCAGCGTGGCTACAGGACGCGCCACGAGACGCGCGTAGAACTCTGTCAGTGTAAATTCAACTGGTGCTGTAACGTGCGCTGCAACAAGTGTCACCGCCAGGTGGCGGTACATACGTGTTTGTAGTGCGCGCGGTCACCGCTAGGCGGCAGCACCGGTGATCGGGACACCAGTGAGAACCAACGCCGGCGAACATTGCGCGTTGCGTTGCTATGTGCTGCCGTCGAACTATTGCTGCGGTCAGAGCGGTCGGAAAAAGTGGGAACCGGCGGAAGTAACACCAACATTTGCCGTGTGACTATCTGGATACGAGACGGGGCTCGAAGCGAGGCGTCTCCGTCTCTGACGTCGACTTCCGGACATCATTTCCTCCTCTGCACCGACCGTTCCCCTCGGCGAGCCGGCTGAAAGACATTGGCGGCGACGTGCGGCGGGCCATCCCGGCTCCCGGAGAGGCGTTTGATGAGCCCTAAACGCGCCAGTTTCGTCGCGCCGCGCCGGTCGAGGACTCAGCGGCGGCACTCAAACGCGCGTAAAAAGCGCGCCTCCGATAGTGTCGGTGGTTGATAGCGCCAGCGCGGCCGACCCGGCGCGGCGGCGGCGCGGCGGCGCTCTCTTTGTTTTGGTTCAGCTGGATAGAGCGGCGCTGCCACCGCACTCCGGAGCTGTTAACTGTGAGCAAACAGCAAATGGGACCGCGAGTGCGCGTGTTCGGTCGCCGCTGCCCCCTCCCCGCCGCCGCCAAACAGCTGTAGCATGTAAATATGTGTACAAAGGTTTAATGTGACGACAATAGAGACCGCTGCACAGCCAAGTGAGAAGTAATTTATATTTTAGTGTATGTGTTTACCTGTTTGGGATGGCGTTGTTCTGACCTCGCGAACGGCGCTGAGGTGTGTTCGACGCCTGCTGACAGTGTTCGCGGAGGTGTCATTTGCCAATCAGCATCCGCGGCCGGTTTGTTTGCGCTAAAGGTGGTCCGTTTGGCGACCTCATTCGCCGTCTGTCCTATGTCTTCCACCAGCGGTATGAGAACTGAACGACTGTTATGTGATGTCGGTGGCCTGTTCATGTACACCGAGCCCAGTGTGTGTGTGGGGGGGGGGGGTATTTTGAGGGGGTCAGGGTGTATGAAGACAGTCAGCGGGGTACTATGTCATGATTCTATAATGTATGCGTGGCGCATTTCGTTCTGTTTTGTGCTATGACACCATCCTGTGGTAGGTATTCATTTGATGCATGTATTATTGCTGCACAAGATAAACTATTACTGCACACTCGAGAAAATGACGGTAATTTGATTTGAAGGCAATGTGAGAAAGCCCCTAGATGCTCAAACTGTGAGCGCCGAGGGATATGGTTAAATCTAATTCATAGTCACTACTTACGTTAGACAAACAACGGCATCACGAAGAAATAGTTATACAAACGGAAAAATATCTAACATTAACTTTGTTATGGTCTATATTCAGGTTGACTTTTCTACCTTATGAATTTTTCTGTCAAGTGAACTGAAAAAACGAGCGAGTAGGGGAAAGCGGGGTCAAATGTAACACGGGGCAATTATAACAGTGTTAATAATTCATAAACTTACCAATAGAATGCGCTAATGTTAAGACCGAAAATGCGTAATTCTATACTGCCTTTCCCAACGGAGTTTGAAGCGAAAGTGCCGGGTATGTCGATGGCTGTGCACAGTAATGTGTTTTTGAGTGCATTTTATAAATTTTTATACCGTTATATTTGATTAGCTCATTCCCGCCATTGAAAAGATATCGACTTCAGACCTTGTGTAAGCGTTGGCAGGCTTGTTGTGCATAAATTGAAAGCATTAAATGCTGTACATGCAACATTTTTATGCGCCAGTTTCGTCTAAAATATGTCAAGGCGCGACGGGGACAATTGTAACATTTTTGCAGGGGTCAAATGTAACAGGTTATAGGTCAGTGGCCATTATGTCAAAGTCGTCAAATTTTCAAGGGAGATGAAACATTGCTAGAATTAAGAGAGCTGTAAGTTTTGTCGCAATCGGCAGCTTTTTACGCGATTTATTTGCGAAAAACCGAGGGAGAGGAGATCCATCCAACCCCTGTATAAGTGCGAGGTTTTAAGCCTTTTTTCCTGAGAAGAACCGTCTCTACCAAGTCTGGGAAGATGAACAAGTGTTCAATACTTTTGTTAAATCAAAGTTTTGGGAAAAATTGTGTTGCTGTAGCCTGTAAATTAGCATGTTACAATTGTCCCCGGGTGGTGTTACTTTTGACCCCGTATCTGGGGTGAATTGTAACAGGTGAGTTGACTTTTTCGGACAACAATTTTGACCCAAAAAATAAGTTATTTCGGAAATGTTTTAACAGCATTTTAAAGGTAGTGTGCCAGCTTTCTTGGACCGTATGGAGTTAATGGCCCAGATAAGGAGAACCGGATTTTTAGAACTTATCCATACCTTCAAAACTCATGGAAACGTCTTAAATTCTTCAAATTTTGAGTACCCCAGTGCGAAATTCGCCCCGACGGGTTGTCGGTCGTACCCCAACCACATTTCACACCACTATGAACAATAAATGCACACACTGAAATCGCTATTACCGATATGCTCATCCAATCAAGTTTCGATAAACCCGTTCATCATCATCTCCTGCGGTTTCGAACACGCCTGTTAGGTGGCTTCTGATGCTCGTCGAGGTCGGAATTTCCAAATACGCGTGGTGCGTCGGGCCGCGCGCTCTGACTTCGGCCAAGAAAAATGCGTCAGCTGATCATTGTTACTTCTGCCACTTGCGTGTGGTGAAATGGGGTCATAACTTATAAGACGGCTTTTTCATATCAATTATTTTACATAAAATCATATTTCAAACCATAAATAATGTTCGACAGCCAAATAAAAGAAACAATACCAATACGGGCTTACAGTTTAAGGCTCGACATTGTGTTGTCTACGATTAGACAGCTGATAACTCATTCCCGTACGTCGTATGGTCGTAACACTATAATGACCTTTGCTTATTGTCACAAGTGCGCCGCATTCGCGATTGTTGCCCGACGCCTGTTTGCAGGTGAGCCCACTACAGTTGTTATACATATCTAAAAACCGAAAAACTTTTAGGCGAAAAAGGCACTATTCCAGGCCCATTTTTGATTTTTTTTTGCGATATTAGGTAAAAACAGAAGCTTCTTATCCTAGGAAAAATAAAATGGGAAATCTTTCAAAGGTGGCACACTACCTTTAAAGACAAAACATCATAGTTTCTGAAAATAAAAGAAAGAGTTTTATAACTGCAAACGTGTTTGCACCAGATGATAAAATGCAAAAAATGTTACAATTGACCCCGTTCTCCCCTATGATGAAAATAATGACTGCGGTCTGCGTTGGTTAAATATTCGATTTTCAGGCAAACGAACATAATAAAATAAATGTAATAAGAAATAAAAACTAAGTGAAGCCTCACATAAATGTTATAAGTAGTTACAGTTATTGTTATATGTATTGTAATAACATAGTTTAGTTATCCTACAATGCATATACCCTCTCACCTTTTTGTTATAACAATGTTATTGCTAGTGTTGAATATTAAATGCTGTAAGTGATTGGTTTGTGTAGATCGTAGGGATGACGTGAATTAGGTAAGAATTGTAAAGCAAACTTTTAATCACACACAAAGGTTGCGAATGCTGATAAGTAACCGCACTAATGACCCTTTTTACGTCCCGTACCATGCCAATAATCCTTTCGTGACACACTCCGAAATCCCTCAGTTTGCTAAATTGTCATCAACCACAATACCTATAAGCCTTGGGACCTGATATAAATAATCTGACGACATAGGTAACATACGCTCTGGGTTATTTACCCAAAGGGAGACATTATGGCGTATGTCGAGCACGTGTGTTGTATAGGTAACCACCAAACAAAAGACTCGTGTGGCGAAGTAGGTCGGCTGGACACTCAGACCACCTCCGGTGGACAGAGAGGTTGGTTGCGGTTCTTCTCCCCTATACTTTGGCATTCCGCTGTAGTGCTTCCGCCAAAGGGGGCGGGTCAGGTCATCATGGGCTGTCCATTGAAGCAGGCGCGTCGGCATGCCACGAACACCGGCGGCACGTGCGCGGTGACTCGGGTGTTGTTCATCCCACTCGTAGCTCTGTTGTTGCTGGAAGCGCTGCACCATGGTGCGCAGGCCAAGTACGCCAGCGGTCGCCACCGGGCAGGGCGCCGACTGAACGGCGGGTCTCCGCCACTACAGCAGCTTCAGGTGACGTCTGTAATCCAGTGCCTGGGCCTGTGCGACAGACACTCCAGCTGTGCTGCCATCAACTTCGGCGCCGTGTCCGAGACGACCAACTGCCAGCTGCTCGGTCAGCGCGCCTGGGAATCGGATTGCGCTTTACGAGGAAACGAGTGCGCCGCCGATGTACACGGTGCGCTTAGATTGGACTGCGCTTTTCCTGCGTTTTTGCACAGGAAAATGCGCCTGGACTGGAAAGAAAGTAAAATGCCGCATAATCTTCAAACGCTCGATGCCACTGAATGAAATATGCATGTATTATGCTCAGGAACATGGCAAAGTAATAATATGACTTAAATGCATTAAATTTGAGCAAACACAGCGTCGAAATTCGCTCATGTTTTTAAGTGCGCTTATACTGACCAAAATGCGCCGTGAGTGGAAAATCAGCAATTTCCCTCAATACTAGTGGACATTTTTAAAATGTGAATTTCTTTAATATAAAGCTGATAAATTACCCGTTACTGTACACAATATGATGCTTTTCATCATATTTACCAGTGTTTTATGCGCGGATCAAGATTTTGGTCTCGGCTAGCAGCTATTCGCACTTCAGGAAAATTGCGCCCCATCTGGCTGTATGGACAATGTTAAACTCATGCAGCCCCACTCGACTTTTAAGCTGAATTTGTGAAAAGTGATTTAACAAAAAAACGGTTAAATTGAAGAACGAGTGTTTGGATATTACTCGTCTCATCTTAAAACATCATAAAACACTTCAATAAATAAGAACTTCGTCATACTTTTCCTAAAAAATAAGTTTTATATTTTGGGCTGGTTCAGTTCTGGCGCACTTTTGCCTATGTGCGCTTTTAAGTCCCAGAAATTTGTCCCTTGTCGGCGCAGTGCGCCGAAAAATGACAAATAAATTGCGTGTTTAAGCGCATGAAGGGAAAAAATGACGATTTAAGCGCATTACAGGAAAAAACTTTATTAATGATTTATATGTTGCGTTGTTTATTCTGTATATTTGATTGATCTTTAGCATTACATAACATATAACACTTCCTGAAATGTGATATTCACATCATGTCCTAATGTTTCACTCTGGTCTTGATTCAGCTATTCAGCTATTTAAGTGTTATTAAGGGTCTTAAGGGGTGTATGGATTTGTGACGTATTACGAGTCTTAATCCACCCTGTACTGTCGGTGTTTATAATTGCATGTGTGTATGTGGGGGGGGGGGGGGGGGGCGTTTCACACTACTGACCACAAGCGGCTAGCGGAATACATTTCGAAAACGGGTCAAGTATGGTGAATTAACCCTCGCACAGGCAGGTGGGTCGTATCGACCCTTCCAAGTTTTATCCTAGACGGACGCTAAATGTCAGGTCAATGAGTTATTGATGCCAAAGAGGTACAGCCTCCGACCGGTTCTTCCGGGGTGTGTGCCAAAGTCTAGAGGTTTTCTTACGCTGGTACCCACAGTCTTAAGGATCAAAGGATCCACAGTCCAAGGATCATAATGAAACTTCTCACACATGTTGGGGCATCATTGTCCATCGTTTGGTAAAACAAATTTAACCGGGTCATGCTAGGTGGCGGAGTGATGACGTGATAAAAGATACAGTTATCACGTCATCAGTGATAACAGATACAGTGTCCGGCGAATAGTTGACTGGTGACTGATCAAAACCGCAGTGAAATTCGACATTTCCTGTGTAACTTACGTTTGTAGCTGTTATCACATTTCCACAGCCAGTCCACGTGCCAGTGTGCAGTCGCGCCCGCGTGCTTGCTAGTGACCCCGCGACGTTAATCCCATCAAACTCCTAAGCTGTGCTCCCGGCTGTTGTCTGGTATTAAGTCTCCAGGTGTCCCACGGCAGTCATTCTAACCAAACATTAGCCAAACATTGCCATTTGTCTAACATTCTTACTTTACATTATTGCTCTCGGATACTTAATGAAATAATTTTTATATATTTTTGTCCAGCTGATCAAGACAAAGCAATATTTGTCGAAATATATGGACTTGTATGCTATTGATTTTCATCCCAG